TTTAGTCCAGTGTTTCTGGTTTATTTCTTTCCCTAAAATTTATACAGCCTTTATATTATAAGTATTACACTCTCACTTGGCTCCAGTTTCATGCTTAGGATGTGGATGGACATTTTGATCTATATTTATTAACAAAGCTGCCTTGGTGCTATTTTAACAGACCAGATGAAGCCTAGAAAAAACCAGAGTAGAGCCAAACTGATCCAGACTCTTATAGAATTGCATGGACCCCGCGTGCTTTTGAATGCACTGAGAGGCTTTGTAATGGCTTAGTAAGTGGATGAGGAATCGAGAGGCTAGAGAACCTAGAGCTGCTCAGATAACTAATAGAGAATCTGGAATAATTCCAGGCCATGCTCTGGAGGAATCTAGGAAAGCCTACTCTATTCTAGTTTAAACCAGACACTTTATTCAACAATCTTTAGCATCTAGATACATCTGTAAATACCCAAATCCAGGTCTCATACATAGCCTCTCCAAAAACACATAAAAGAAGAGTGCATGTGCCCTAAACTATAAACAGTTTGTTGCCTATATTATTGAAGTTGCTCTTGCCCTGTAAAGTGATCTTTACTTTGTAAGATAGTCTTCACTAATCACTGAAGTCTCTGAAGTCAGCACCAAGTATTTTCTGATAAGTCTAAAGTTGTGTTAGTCTAAATGGGACAATGAGTTAGTTTTGAGTCTGATCTGGTTAGAAAATGTCTGAACCTGTATCAGTAAAGAAGCTCTAAAAACACCAAGTTTAACACCTATTAGTCTGATATCCTGGTCTTGTCTCTTCATCATACTTATCCTCTGGATTCTTTCAAACAGAAAGAGTCTGAATTCAGGAAAGTAATTCTCAAGCTTCTCTACCAATCCTAATGCACAGCACCTTGATAGGAACAACATACTTAATAGCATGCTAGTAACCACTCCTTTAGGATCCATACATCTTCTGACATAGGCACACAGCTTTGCATAGTAAAATAAACTGGTACCACTATATAAATAGAGAAATTACCCTCAACAACGAACAACTAGGCTGCTCTAGAAGAGAAGGAAAACTTGAGTCAGTCTAGGCAACAATTCTTTGGAATTGGTTGGCATATTAATTAGACTATTTTTTACCCTCCAACTTCAAAGCATCTCATCATACAACAATGAGTGCATCCACCCACTATCACTCTTGTTAGACTTGGCCAAGAGTGCACATGAACAGCCCTAGAAGATTACTAATAGGTTTTGTCAATAAGACTTATCTGATTTAGTAGGCAAACTAGGGGAACATAACAAGCCTGGCACCATTGCACATGCCTCTATTTGACTTTAGCTGGTAATTCTGAAGCATTGAGATCCTATTGGCCACTTTCCCAACCACACTATTAAATCCCTCATCAGTGGCTTACATATATTCCATTTGGACATGAACTCACTCCTTAGCCCACTCTTTTAGATGCCACTTCAATTGCCCTCAACATCCTTCATCCTTTGGCATAGAGCAAGGTCATTGAGGTATGCTCTTAGCTAGCCTTGGTAGCATATAACTAGACATTGGTCTGTGATGCCTGTATGAGTAACTTAAGTGGCCATGGGGGCAGTGCTCTATGCAGCAGAATGCTAGGCCTAGAGCATGTGCAATAGCCATAGACTTAAGCAGAGAGGTAAGTATAATAAGGCACTCATTGGACATGTCAGAGGTCAAAAGCTAATATACAAGCTCCATGGCATAGATCTTGTTGATAAAGAAGTTGAGGGAGACTTGCAGCAGTTTTTGTACTAGACTATAGCCTAATAACTGTTGAGAATATCATTGGACCCTTGTTGGAGGTTTGGTCAAGAGTAGCTTGATCATTTAGGCAGTAGGAATAGACTGCAGGTATAGGGAAATAATGAGCTGGCATGTGGCTAGGTGTAGCTGTCAGATGAGTTAGAATGAAAAGGGCAAGTGAGATGCTACGCAGTATTTGCATATTTGGTACATTGTTCAAAAAGGAATGGAGCTCCACCTAAGTCTCTTAAAACTTCCACAGCTCTCCTTATAGGCAAGTAGGGGACATGTCAGAAGAGAGGCTGCTCTTTCTTAGGCACACATGTTGCTGCTATTGCATGCTATCTATGTGCTTAGACTGACTAGAACCTTCCTAAAAAGTAGAAAGCTGGACATGACTTTGGATGCAATAAAAGCAGCAAAAGCCCTGCCCTAAGCTAAGCAAAAGATATAGGACTAATTGAGAAAGAGGGTGCTGAGACTAGTCAATAGCATAAATATTAAATACATGATAGCAGAAAGAGCCTATTATAAAGAACATCTTACTAAGGTGGACATGTGCAAAATGTACATATTGTCTGACCATGTGCCTGAGTGGTATAGATATCAATAAAGGACCGTCAATAACAGCTTGACTAATTGCCACAATAGCTTGAGCTGCAGTCATGCAAGAGAAGTAGGAAGAAGAGACTATAAGGTGCAAAAGGCAATAGAAAGATGTACTCTTGATAATACTTGCATTATCAGGGCCTTGGTGGAGGCCTATCATTTGCTTGCATTGTTACAAGCACAAAAAAGTATATGTTGAGAATATAACAAATACAAATGTATTCACCACAGCAGGTCTGAGCTATAAAGATAAAAGCTTGAGCATGGTCTTTAGAAGATGCATAGAAGTGGATGTGTTTCACAGCAGAACACATGTATAGAAGTGGATGTGGTTCACAGCAGAACACATGTGCATGGACTCAGATAAATAAGAACAGGTGCATAGCACTGAGGGAACATGTGTGCACACACGGGAATAAGTGTGAGGATACTGCATAGCAGGGCTATATGGGCTAAGGGAATGACATAATATAATATCAAGAGTAGAATATCACCATTAAGGAAATCAAAGGGATATAGGTCAAAAAGAGGGCAGGCAGAAAGTTGAGACTGGGATGTACACATATGCAGGAAAGGGCTGATGCAAGGAGTGACAATAACACATATTCATAAGGCTTATCATGTTTAGTAAGTGCGCACCTACCATGATGTCTTTATTGTCTATGCTTACCTTGCTCCCAGCCTATCTTTCCTTTGTCTCCAGTCTTCTTTCACTTCCTTAGCTACTAGTCAGTTAGATTAGGTTGAGCATAGAGGTTGAAGTGTTGCATCATTAAGAAGATAAAGAGAGGTCAGGATATGAGATTGTGGGGTTGAGTGTGTGTACAGTGTCAGCAATGATGCAGGACAAGGGTACAAATGGGCAGAGGGGTTACTGAGAAGTTGGATGTGTGTGTGTAAGCTGGCAGAGTCACATGTAAGCAAGTGTGAGGGCACTTGGTAATAGGCAAGGGATGAATAGTAAGAATAAGGGCAGAGGGTATAGACCTTGGAAATGCTTAGCCACTTCTAAGCCACTTTTTTTCTAACTCATCTCTTCACTGTCAGTAATTCCTTGGCCTTTTAATCAATGCTCAGTGATATCTATAATGCTCTGTGCATGGACATAGAGCATGAGTATGGTGGAAGCAGGGGCACAAGGAGAGATAGTGATAGTGACTATTGAGAAACAGCAATGATACACTAGAGATAGCTCTAAGTGCCAAGCATAACACCTAAACAACCTCTAGAGCAAAGGGGTGCTAAAGCTAGTATCTAATACACAAGGAATTATTAGTTATGACTTTAAGAAATTGAAGATGCACTGAGAAGCAATAGGGAGGGTAATATTATAGTGCCTAACTAGTTTCAGGACTATGCCAAACACCAACTAAACATTTGGTTGGTTATGTTGGGGATTCGGTTGGTAATAAGAAGGTAGTATTGTGACCAACAACTACATGCTTCAAGAGTCATATGGGACTCTGACAATATACAAGGGAGGATAAGGGGTATGAGTGAAGAGATGAGTATGAACATAAACAAGGTCAAATGACGAGGATGATAAGTTTTCAAAAGTCAGCAAAGGCAATTTTGATAGTTAAGATAAGTGTAAATGAGCTCTGAACTGTGGGACACAAAAGCTGGTTTATTCTAGAGTTATATGTAAGTTTTTATAGTAAACAGAGCCCTAAGTAAAATATTGAATAAAAAATGAGAGTAGATATTAAATAGGTGCCAAGCCCTAGCGAACAAAGAGAATAAGAAGGTAGATGAGATGTCCATATAGGCTCTGAAAGTAATAAGGTAAAAGTTAATTAGCAATGGCAAAATCCTGAACATTTGGGATCTATCATCTGAGCATTGGTAACTAGAACAGGCATTGGAGAACTAATAAAAATAAAAAAGATATAATATACAACTAAGGTAGCTAAGTAATGGTGCAAGATTGTATTTGACCAACCATGCAGAAGTTGGGAAAATAAGCAATAAGGACCGACCAACTTATTGAGCACATTAGCCAATATGGAATACTAGCTCTAATCTTGTAAATACCTATCATAATACTCTTGTGTGATCATGGTAAGTATGTGAAGTGTGGGTGAACTGACCCAAGTGCTGCCAAACATCCTTTGGTAGGTTGCGGTTGGTTGGGTGAAAACTGACTGTGTTCAGTAATAGTCAGTGTCTTTGGTACTCATCTAGCACTGTTTAGTCTCTGCACATGTACATAAGCCAAGCAGCCCCAGACCTGCAAGTGCGAAACGTCTGGCTTCTTCCCATGGACCATCTCAAATAGCGTCTTGCCCTTTAGGGTAGACGTCCAGAGTCGATTCCAGACGTGCACATAAGCGGCCAGAGCCTCGCCCCAGAAAACAAGCGGCAAATATGATTTAGAGAGCATAGCAGTGAGGGCCTCCATGATAGTGCAATTGGCACGCTCTGCCACGCCGTTCTGCTGTGGCCGATTGCACGCTGTGTGCCTCCTAGCGATCCCATGCTCCAAACAAAATGAGTCCCAGGCATTAGACATGTACTCTCCTCCCTTGTCATCCTGCAAAGCCAAAATGCGCTCTCCAGTCAGGTTCCCCACATAGGCCTTGTAGCGCTTGAAAGCCTCAAGCGCGTCGCTCTTTAAGCGCAGGACATAGACCACCTTGAGCTTGGTGAACTCATCAATGAAGGTGATCCAGTAGCACATTCCAGAGTGAGTGGCAATAGGGAGAGGACCATGGAGATCAGAGTGGACAAGTTCAAGCAGTTTGGAGGTCACAAAGCCAGTGGAGGGGAAGGGGTGAGCGTGCATCTTGCCAGAGAGACAGGGCTCACACATAGGGTCAGGCTGCATGTCCGAATCGAGCTGTAGACTAGTAACGAGACATTCCTTGACCATCCTCTGCACTCCAGCATGGTGGTGGTGGCAGAGACGACGATGCCACAGGGACAAGTCAAGAGGGAGAGTAGAAGCGGCACCAGCAGACTGCAAAACAACGGTGGAGGTGGTCCCTTGAAGATATGCATTGTTGGAACCATCAGGAATGACTGCCATGAACCACACTGCACCGTCCCAGGAGAAATGCATTGAAGATCCTTCTATTAGCATAGAGAAGTGCTTGTGCTGAGTCAAATACAGCACAAATAGGAGATTACAGCCAAGATCAGGGACATGCAGGACGTTTGAGAACTCCACAGACTGCGCCCTCTTGCCTCCAACAACTGGATTGAACACCACAGTCCCAATACCAGCAGAATAAATGACAGACGAGTCTGCAAGACGAATGGGGACGACGAAGGGACGATAGTTGCGAAGCCAGTGATGATGGGGTGTCATATGAGAGGTTGCACCTGTGTCCACATTCTAATCGAGGTCAGTGACGAGTGAGGGGGCTGTGGACGAAGGGGATAGAGCAGGGGAACGAAAACTTGCATTGCCTGCAAACTGCATGGGACCAGAGGCTTCAGGAGCCTGAACCGGGTGGGCCTGCTGTGGCTTGGACTTCTTCAGCTCCTCATTGATCCTCTTGAAGCACCTGTCATCAGTGTGGCCAGTGGCACCACAGAAGTCGCACTTGTACTGCTTCCTGGGTGGCCTGGAACGTCTGTAGGAGGTGGAGGAAGAGGAGGGGGATGAAGCAAAGGATGCCACAAGGGCCTGTGCAGAGTCTGTGGGATCAGAACGACGCGCACGGTTCAAATCCTCGCGCCTGAACACATCCTTGAGCTTGGAGTGAGACAAGACGTCCATAAGACTGAGGGAGGAGCAGAAGGTGTCAAACTCAGAGAGGAGAGACCACAAGAGGGCCATGCAAGTGAGCTCCTCGTCCTGCTTCTTGAGATCGAAGCCAGAGTCGCGGAGGTTCTTCAAGACGCGCATAGACTCATTGACATGATGAATGAGGGACTGGAGGGACTCATTGTTGCGCTTCTTGATTGAGAAGAGGTCCTCCATCGCATTGAAACATGATCCAGCAGACTTCTTGTTGAACTGCTCCTCCAGTTTAGTCCAAATAGCAATGGGGTCGTCCTCAATGCCATCCAAGACGCCTCTGAACTGGTCCTCAACCGAAAGTAAGAGCGCACCAGCAGCCTTCTGAGCATTCCTCTTCCACTCTGCCACCTCCCTTGGGTCAGCAGGCTTCTCCTTCGTGCCAACAGGGGCTGTCTCATCACCAGAGACCAGAATCCACAGGCCTTTGAGACGAAGCCAGGCCTTGATCTCCTTGGACCAGGAAGGATAGTTGCGATTATTGAGAGGGGAGACAGAAGGGAGAGCGAATGAGGGGTCAGACATGGTGTGGCACGAGTGGCATAAGCAAGGAAAGGTGTTGGAAGCGATGTGGGACGATGGGAAAGGCAGGGAAAGCAATGGGAAAGATGTGGCAGCAATGGGGTGTGGCCAGAAAGGAGTGGCACAGCAGATGGGAGACCAGAAAGTGTGGATAAAACGATGTAGAGCAAAGTCGCTAGAGCGTAGGGCCCATAACCTGTTGAGCGCAGTGACAACGAAGCGACTGGCACAGAGAGAGTGCCAAAAAGAAGCTCTATAATGACAGGACTGTGATCCAGAGGGTGAGAGTCTAAATAGATACAAAGAACAGAGGGGAGCGCACCTGTGGTCCAGAGGGTAAGAGTCTGAGGAAAGAATCGCCCTCGGACCACAGGTATTTAAGCTACACAGAACGATAAGAAACAAAAAAGAAAGATATCATCTAGAAAACCACCCCTTTATATTAAGCTCTAATTAGTTCTATTTATGCATAATTAAGAACAATTAGGATTAGACATTTTTAGCTTACCCCCCCTCTAAACCTGTTCTAATTAGATATAATTTTCCTAAATTAGGAATTATTAGGATTGATTATAACTTGAAATTTCGGAAAATTCATAATAAATTAAGCATCACAGTTCTCATAGCCTTATAGAGTCATGTCTATTAAAGCACTAGTTCAATACCTAAACACAGAATATACCTTATAACAAACTTGCCTTCTGCCAGAATTGAACCAACAACCTCATGTATGCAAGCACCCAGAATAGATGCTCTAGCCACTAAGCCACAAGGTCTAATATATAGACTTGGTAATCAAAATCAGTAGACATAATATAGGCAACCTCAACATCTCTGATTTACTCAATATTTATCTTTTCTTTATCTAATAAATAATCAGGTCAATAAATACCTAAAAAGTCAGGTCTTTCAGGATTTAGTTTAAACACCAGCTAAGAAGATAATAAACCAATGGAAAATCAATAATACACTTTATATAGGATAAAAATAAATTATGGCACTTATACAATTTGGACTAAGAATGTGTAAAACTATGATTGAGTGTAATATCCAATGGGACTCTACTAGTATGGACAATGCTACCTGAATTTGCAAATTTGATCAAAAACATGATTATGAATAATCAAGATCCAATAAGAGAGAGGGGTTTTCCAAATAGCCACTAGTGAGGTAGAGGGTGGGGACAAGAGTATATGTATGGCATGCCTATATATAAATAAGCACAAGATTGTTGGAGGTGATCTTAATATGCTTAATGCATATATTTCCTATATGGCAGGCAAATATATCATTCTAGCACCACATACCAATATGACTGTCTTTTCCACAGCCTAATAGCTAGAGGAAAACACCCAGTTTGAGCATCTTCTGTATAACAAGGCAATAAACAATATAAATAGTGCTAAAAATTGTAATATCAATAGTGATGATAATTGTGTGCTGCACAAGACAGTATTAATCACTATACCAATAGACAAGGTCTACAAGGCTGCATATAGCATATCCCTAAGTCCAACCCACATGTTGTGTCCTATAATGACCAGTAGCAGGCATTGGTTAACAATGACAACTTTAATGATCTTGTGTGCAAGGCCAAGGTACCTAGGTCTTCATAGCCTCTTGTGGCAGCTGCCAAGCTGCCAACAAAGTGGCTGGGGGCATCAATGCATATTTCTCTCTTTTGATATCCCTTATAAAAGCAGCTGGAAAGTCAGCAAAAGAGCTACAAGATAATAGTATAGGCATATATGAAAGAGAGTAATATGCTGAAATAGTATAGAATGTGCCACATCTTTACCTTCTCACTGATAGAACAGTAGTGCTTACTATTTCCTACTAATAATTAAAGACTTCTTAGTATAGAATTAGTGCTAATATCATGAAATTAGAAACCAATATAATGCTCACAATATGTTGCCCCCAATTAGGAAATTAGACACTTTTAGATACTATTGACACTTTTAGATACTTTTAGACACTATTAGATATAATCCAGAGCTAATACAAGGGGGTGTTTTTGCAGATGTGTTCATTTACCTCAAATGAACTATCAAAAGAAACTCAAAAGGAATCTGGGTTTATATAGGTAAACAAGACAGCAGAAAACCTATTGATACTCTACTAGTTGCCTGGAAAGACAAGAAAGCACCACTTAGAACAGTAATTACCCCAACTCAAACCAAACCAGTCTTAACACTGATCAATATCCCAAAAGAAGACATACTAGCTGACATCTGAAAGGAAGATATTGACAAAGGAATTATCCCAGTAAGAGGAGTATCTCCTATTGCCAAAGAAGACCCTGAACTTATACTAGAACCAAGCAACCCAAAACAACTGGACCCAAACCCAGATCCAATACCTAGTGTAGAAACAACCAATGCAAAAGACAAAATGATGAACAAAGAAAACAAGCCCAAGGGCTTTGATGGGACTAGGTCAAAATACCAAGAATGGATCTACAAATGCCATATGTACATCATGGCAAATCTAACCAAGTATGACATGGACCTAGCCAAAATCCTAATGGTATTGTCCTACATGTGAGAAGGAACCACCTCCTTATTTACCTAGAAGTACTATTTTGACAGAGAGCTCTGAGAATATAAGCCAACAGAGACAAAATTAAAATAGGGAACATTCAAGGAATTCCTAAAAGAACTCACTAAAACATTTAAAAATGAAGGAACTGAACAAAAAGCATGACAAAAGTTATTCACTATAAGAATGGGAAAGCAATCAGCAAATAACTTTGTCACAGATTACCTTATCACCACCAGAGAAAGTGGATTCAACCTAGAATCTACCATTGATTATGTCTGCTAAGCCATACACCCAGAAATACTCAAACAAATCTACAGACTGCCTGAGCCGACAACTATGGACAAATGGGTAAAGTATACCCAAAGGTTTGATAACCAATAGAAAGAACTCCAAAGCATAAAAAGCTCAATTCTTACTGCTACCCCTCATCAAAACAACCCTTTCTGATACAACTTATCTAATGCCCCCTCTTCCATGAACAACTCCATCATACCAATGGTGATAGATGCTATCTGCACTCCTCTCATGGACAATGAATATGCTAGACTATGTGCAGAGGGTAGGTGTTTTTACTGCTATCAAAAAAGGTATATAGCAAACCAATGCCCTACCAGGGCTTCATCTAGGCTATATGAAGGGACAGCTGGATATGCTCAACCAGATAGTAAAAAAGTGGGGAACCACCCAGCTTAAGCTGGCAGAGCATTGGCTGGCAAAAGAGGAAGCTATAGTAGAGCTTTCTTAGCAAGAGCTCAAAGCAGTGGTAAAGGAGTGACTCCAAGAGAAGGTAAAAGTGTAGCAATAACTAACTCATTCTAGGCTAGACTCATAGCACACCAAGCCTATGCATCTGGAAGAAATGCACTTGTATGTTAGAAGGAGCCTAAGGTTAGCTGAGAAAAGGTCCAAAGGCTTATAGGGAAGATGTGATAAGACAAACAAAAAGCACTCCTACAAAAGCTGAGTGAGGGAAGCAAGCAAAAGGAATTGGAAATGGATTTTTAAACTGGCCTATATCCTTGGTGTATGATAGGCCCACCCAGAACTCCCTTGTAAAAACAGCTATATAACTTGCAAAATCAAATCAAAAATTGTCAATGCATATAAACATGCAACTGAAACACAAGAGAAGAACCACTAAAGCAAAAACATACCACTCAAAAAAATCAACAAATTCATCCCAGTGTTCATTGTAGATGGCATAGCCAATAAAGGAGGAAAATCATGGACAAAGCATGCCTACCAATGAGAATAATAAACAAAGAAGGGGACTATCATAATAAACAGTGTGAACTACTCACTACCAATCTAGGAGGAGAAGATATTATTTTGGGAACAGATTGGCTACATAAGCATAACCCACAAATTGATTGGGTAAAAAACTGCCTTATATTCTCCTCATGTACAGCAACATGCATTGTCAGCTGACCCAAGTTCATAATACAGGCACAATTCCTTCTATAATGAAGAAGCATAAAGACAATTGGATATTCAAAGATAAAGAATAAATCTAAAGGAGAAGAAGAAGACTTCTTCTCTGAATTCTACAAAGAATGGTACAATAAAGACCTTTTTGAAATGCACCCAATCGAAGCAATCTATATTAAATCAACCCATAGTAAATCACAAGAACTAGCAGAAGCAGCAAACAAAAAAAAAATGAATACACAGTAGAAGAAATAGTCCTTGCTTACATTCTTAAATGTATTGCCAAAGTCTTCAGTCAAGAAGCCTCCCAAAGACTTCCCAAACATTTGCAATGGGACCACAAAATTGATATGAAACTAAGATAGGAACCAAGCAGATGCAAATTATACCTTCTAACAAAAGAAGAAGACAAGCTATACAAAATGCTATAAGAACACTTAAAATGAGGAACCATCAGAATATTGAAATCCCCACAAGTATTCTCATTCTTCTTCATAAAAAAGAAGGAAGAAGACCTTAGACCAGTCCAAGATTATAGAAAACTAAACAAATGAATAATAAAGAATAAATACCCTCTACCCCTAATCAACAATGTAATCTGAACCATTGCAAAGTTAGGGGCAAAAGTCTTCTCAAAATCCAATGTCAAATAGGGATACAACAATATCTGTATTATAGAAGATGATGAATGGAAAACAGCCTTCCTAACTAAGTTTGGCCTATTCAAATGCCTGGTCATGTTCTTCAGTCTTTGCAACTTGCTAGCAATATTCCAAACTATGATAAACATAATCTTCCATAACCTTATCATTGCATAAGTTATAGCAGTCTACATGGACAACATCATAATCTTCACAAAAATAGTAGAAGAACACCAACAAGTAATGATCAAAGTAATGCAGATACTTCTGGACAATGACCTATTCCTCAAACCCTCTAAATGCACATTTAAAGTAAACACAGTCAAATACCTCAGCTTCATCATCTCTATAGACAAGATAGCCATGGACCTGGTCAAGATTGAAGGAATTTCCAAATGGCCAACTCTAACTAACCTAAAAGAAGTACAATCCTTTTTAAGCTTTGGAAACCTCCCACCAAAGATTCATTAAAGACTTTGCCATGATAGCATGACTCTTAAATGACCTAACAAAAAAAGACACTCAATTCACATAGACCAATGAGCATAATGAGGCATTTGAAACCCTCAAATACTATTTCACATTAGTACTGGTACTTATCTACCCCAATAGCAGCTGCCCCTTCTGACATAAAACTGATGCCTTAGACTTCACATTAGGTGCCATTCTGTCACAAAAAGTCCTGGGTAATGGCTGGCACCTAGTAGCCTACTTATCAAAGTTATTCAATGCTGTGGAATGGAACTATGATATCTTTGATAAAGAGCTACTAGCTATAACACATTCCCTGGACCACTGGCACATTTACCTTGAAGGCACATGATATTCATTTGAAATATGGTCAGACCACAAGAATCTCCTATACTTCTCAATAGCTAGAACCCTTTTCTATAGGCAAGCACACTAGGTCCTCTTTCTATCATGCTTTGACTTCACATTGGTATACAAACCAGGCTCATCCCACTGTCCAGATGCTCTATTCCAATGTCTAGACCTAAAAAAATGGGTAAAATCAGACAACAAAAACCAGGTACTACTAAAACCCCAACTATTCGTTAAAAGCACCACAGAAAGAGGCACAGTCAAGATGTTAGATAGACAACTTAGACAAAAACTGAAGAAAGTCACAACAAGAGACAAAGAAGTGACCAAAGCATTGGAAGTCATCAAAGCTTTGGGACCCAGAGTGCTCTTGAAAGAACTACAGGGATGGAACTTCCAAGACAACCTCATTTGGCATTAAAGCAAAATATATGTTCTACTAGATGACAAACTCAAAAGAAAAATAATAAAAATATATCACAACTCACCTATGACAAAACACCTGGGATAATGGAAGACCTATGTCCTAGTATCAGACAACTTCTGGTGGCCCAGAATGTTAGTATTTATAAAGGAATACATAATAGGATGTGTGACATGCTTGAACATAAAGAATATCACATACCCTATATACACTCCACTAATCCCAAATAAAATACTGAAAGGACCCTGGCAGATAGTTATAATGGATTTTATTACAGACCTTCCATAAGTTAGACCATATGACACAATATACATAACAGTGGACAGAAGCACAAAAAGAGTCATATACACCCCATGCACAAAAACCATAGATGCCAAGAAAATAGCCAACCTCTATATGAAGAACATCTAGAGACAATACGGACTTCCAAAAAAGATCATCTCAAATTAGGAACCATAATTCACTACTAGATTCACAAAGGAACTTTGAAAGAAACTAGGAGTAAAAATAGCCCTATCTACAGCTTATCACCTAGAAATAGATAAGAAAACAGAACAGGTCAATCAAGAGCTAGAACAGTACCTCTACCCATTCTGCAACCACAAACAAACAAACTGGCCCAAACTCCTACCATACGCAGAATTTGCACACAATATTAGAGAATACTTAGCCACACATCAGTTATTGTTCAAACTCATGTATGGCTACAACCTATCCTTCATACCCCAGATAACACCAAGATTAGACATCCCTGGCATTGAACAGAGACTCGAAAGACTAGAACAATTACAAAAAGAAATAAAAGCCAGACTAAAGGTTATAGCAGAACTAATATAGAGAAAAACTGCCAAGAATGAAGTCAAACTGAAAGCAGGACAGAAAGTTTGGCTCTCAGGAAAAAATATAACCACTACGCACCCCAAGGATAAACTTACCCCTTAACTACATGGACTATTCGTAATAGGAGAAAAACTGGGACCAGTAATATACAAACTAAAGCTTCCACCCACATGGAAAATACACCCCATGTTCTATGCCTCCTTAATCATGCCATATCAAGAAATGGCTGCTCATGGCCCTAATTACAGATAACCACTCTCTGACCTCATCAAAAGACAAGAAGAATACAAAGTCAAGGAAATTCTAGATAGAAGGAAATGCAGATGTAAATACTAGTGCCTAGTATGCTAGAAAGGATACATAGACTCGTTGAATAAATGGATCATAAGGACAAATCTCAAGAATGCCAGAGAACTTGTAGAAGCATATGATATTCGACACCCAACAAATCTCTCTTTACAAACAACCCTAACAAACATCAGATAAACAAAACCTATACTGTATAAAATCTTCAACTCAGTCCTCTCTGTCCCATCATCACTCCAAGCCTTATAAACTTATAACAATGATCTTCTTTCTATATTTTAAAATGGCTTCAACTGCAACCCCTATCCTTACTGCTGTCAACTTGTCTGATCATACCCTAGTTGATAAGTCAACATAGACGACTCCCACTCCTGAGTCATCTATGGCAGAAGAATGATCTATATCTTGGGACTCTGATGAAGAGTAGGCCATGCGTGAAGCAGAAAAAGGTAAAAAAGAATACATAAAGTGACTTGGTAAGATTAAGCAACATAATGAGAAAGTGTTTAGGATGCTAGAGTAGGATAACCAGGATAGGCAGCACATTGAAGCCAACAAGAGGGAGCTGCTTAGACAAGCTAAGCAAGCACCCCCATGCTCACATTTACCCCCACCTCTCATCTATAAAAGGGCAGAAGAGATCATTTTTCCTACCAAGAATCATACCTCACAGCCTCCATGGCATACCTCATGAGACTTATAAAAGGCACGTTGAGCACTAAATTCATGTCTAAACCCACCTGACTGGAGATAACTAGGGCACCAGAGATACTACAAGAAGAAAGGGCTTTTGTGAGGCATGTGCAGAGGTCTTTATAGATACAGAAAGGGACACTCATAGCCTGCATTAATATAGGTGAGAGGAAATTAATGGGGCTTGACCACGCTAATCCCCCCCATAACACATTTCATCCTACTAGCAACCCTACCCCCATCAATGAGTACTACATGCTATCCATGGCTTTGGTATCTTATCCCTTGTCTTCAGTCTCAAATGGAGCTCCACTTTGCCCAATGCTAGGGACTTATACCATGAGACCCAAAGGAGGAGTCTATAGGTTCACATGCACATCCCCTCACTTACATATCATCCCCATAACTTTTGGCCTGTGCTACCCACCCTCTCATACTAGACTCCCTGTTATTAAGTATGACTCAAGTGACTCCAATGCATGACCTCTTGTCAACTATTGCCAAGCCCTCTGAAGAGGTAAACAATCATCTGGCATAATATTAAACTACCAGGGCAGATAACAGTTTGAATCCATTGGGCTAGTACTCGCTGCCATGGTGAGAAGAGAGGCTTAGTTCTAGGATGCAGTCTCCACATGGTTCTAACAAGGTAAGGTATCATGATGTCTGTACTTAAGGGCTATCATGTCATAACTCAGCAATGGGCAATGAGATTGGTGCCCTATGTATTATTCCTCTATGGCTTGTAACTAATTTCAGCACAATGCTTATGTTTTTCTTGAACTTTTACTTACCATCTTTGGCACTGATAGCCTAGAGAGGGGGGGGGTAATGTTACAAACTGTTTATTGTACTCTTACTGCTTTTACCATAATCCACAAAGAGATATGTAGGATCCTTCTCTCATTTATACCTCATACTCCTATTCTACTATTACTTGGCCCATGCTCCTGCCTGTACATATTTATAGCTATTGCAGCACAGTAGGGGAGCTTTATGCCATCCACTTTTGTCCAATCTAAGAACTGCTGTCTACTAGTTTTCTCTAATTCAAAGGCACTAGTCTGATTAGCCCCAACCCTTCACTATCATCAATCATATTGTTTCATCTATTTGTATTGTCATTTGTGGCCTAGAATCCCCTCGTCCCAAATAGCTGTTTATAACATCCACATGATGAGCTTGGAGATGAAGTTGATTATCCCCTTCGTGATCTTGGCTCTATATTAGATACTCTTGGTCTAGCAGATAGGCCTACAGCTGATTATAATTGAGCTTGCAAAGCTGCAGGTATTAAACCAATCTTTCATCTATCTTGAAAAGATCTTCCATATGTCAATATCTTCTAATCCATAACCTCTGATAACTTGCACCAGCTTTACTAGGGTGTTATCAAGCACATGATCTTGTGGATAACAATAGCATTTGGTGCAAATGAGCTTGATGCTTATTGCCATTAAATGCCTCCAAATTATAACCTTTAGCTCTTCTCAAATGGCATCTCCACTCTTAGTTGTGTTACAGGCACTAAACACAAGCATATCTGCCACACTCTTCTTGGTCTTATTATTGATCTACCCCTACATAATGGATATTCACTTGCTCATCTGGTCCAGAGTATCCATGCCTTGCTTGACTTCATTTACATGGCACAATTTCCTTTACATACCACTCAAACACTCCAATATATAAACAAGGCACTAAAAGTGTTTTACTAAAATCATGATATCTTTATTTAGCTCAGAATCCAATAGCATTTTAACATCCCAAAAATTCACTCACTGCACTATTACACTTCTTATATCAAGCTTTTTGGCACACCTGACAATTATGATATAGCATATTCTGAACAGCTTCATATTAACTTTACCAAGGATGCCTATCATGCAAACAACAAGAAGAATGAATATCCACAAATGACACAGTGACTTTTGTGGAAGGAAAAAGCCATGGGCTATATTCCTTTTATTGTGTGGTGTCTAGCAGGCCATCCAAAAATCCAAGGCCTCCAACAACTAGCTTTGCCATATTATATGCATTTCAAAATGTCTAAACATCCAAATCAAGTCTGTGTTTTATTTCATTCCCCTGCTTCAGAATATGGTGCTATCAACTTCCATACTGCCCTCACTTAGTTTATTACTGCCCACTTATATCCAAGCTTATCACCTGCAGCTATTTATCAAAAAGCAAGTGTTCAACATCTTTCTTTTAGTACATTTCTTATCTTTTTCAAGATGAAATTTTGGGGTAAAGATTCATAGGGACTTAGTAATATGTCTGATACTCTTGATACTATTCACATTTGTCTATTTAGGATCAGTGCACATAATAAACTGCTTCCTGCCAGGTTTGATACTGTACTTATCAATATTGATGATAATCATGATATTAGGGTAAATAGCAAGTTAAATTTTTAAAAATTCACTAGTATAGTCAATTAAGCTAATTTATATTGCTAGGTTGCCATATTGCTCAAGTGCAGGCTGTTATGATCACGTTCTGTCGGGCCTTAACGGCGGTCTATTCCGACATGATCATCACAAATATCAAGCAGCCTCACAAGGAGAGGCGTACAACAAGATACAGATAGTAACCTTGGTCATCCACTCCCAACGGATCACCTTATCGTTGGTCGAGTATCACGGGCCTATTGCATAGCGGGCATGGAACGCCGCCTTACAAACTACTCACACATCGGGCATTGAGCTCCTAGTCTTTCCTGGCCAGAAGGGGACTAACGGAGAAGCACAAGAGTAGTCGTTATTGAGAGAGATGACTTACAGAATACCTACGGATACATATGTGGTATTCTCACGCCCTACTTCCTAAAGTAGTATAAAAGGCCCATAGAGTAGGCTGAGGTTCTTCAGTCTATTCTCTTCATTCTCCTGTATCTTCACATACAGGAACCTTCGTTCTTAGGTAGTCTTCACACTGTCTACTTCGTTCAGTACTGTCTTCCTACAGTACTCTTCATTGCTACATTGCAATACACCTTTGGCTCCTGTGCTACACGTACAGTCGAGACCATCGTTCCCCACATCCTCCACAAGCGACCTAGGGAAGAACCTCCTACTCTTGGGGTTACCGAACGAGCAGTTCGTAACACTAGAATAGACTCTTCTGCCCCTACCTTGCTCACACTAGCTTGCTGCCACACTCTCTCTCATAACCTTCCTTAGTGGGGATAATAGACCCCCATTAAGAGAGCATTGCTACACACACTCTGGAGCAAGACTTAGGCCAGGAATATCCACCCGGCACTAGACGTATCAATAACCAACTCCGTCACAACAATCGCCCTATCCGGCGCGAAGGGGACTTCTGGCTCTATGAAGACAATAACAGATTCGCCCCTCCGAATTACGATAACTGCTCATACCAAAACGGGCATTATTACTTCACCCTTGAAGACGGAACAGAAGAAGAGGATATTTGGAACGAAACAGAAGCACAGTGGGAACTAGCCCCACAATACAGGGAACCGGCGCCGGTAATCCCCGAAGACTCGGAGCAAGAGGAAACAACCTCAGAATCAGACTCCGACTCACTAGACCAAACACCGATCAACACCCAAAACGAACCGCTCGCCGAAATGTCGGGACAAGCTTCGACTTCTACAGACCCCCCTTCCGCGACAGTACAACCCGGAAGAGGAAAAGTCAAACTCCCAGACAACTATACAGGCAACCGCATTGAATCCCAGAAATTCATGCTCCAATACCTCCTTCTTTTCGCAGCAGAATCCGATCGGTACAAAACCGATCAAGACAAGATATCCCTGGTGCTCTCATGCATGAGATATGGCATGGCAGGAGCTTGGGCCGAGAACTTCCTCCTCAAATCAGTAGGAGCGGACCCTCCCACTGATCTAGGCACCTGGAGGGACTTTTTAACAAAGTTCAAGCTCCAATTTAGGGAGACCGGCAAGACCGACAAAGCGCGAAGTGCACTCATGGCCTTCTCCCAAGGATGAATGTCGGTTGATGAATACTCCAACCAATTCATTCTCATCGCCGCCGATGCCGACATCTCTGACAAGGAACAAGTCCCTTACTTCCAACGCAGGTTAGACCCGCGCGTCATGGACAAAATATATGACAAAGAAGTACAGCCAAAGGACACCATTCAAGATTGGATTAACACAGCCTGCGAAATAGACGGACGACTCAGAGCTAGATCTGCTCAAAAAGCCATCCTCGCCAACTCCACCTCCTTTCGCAGCAATTATTTGAATCATTTCCACACTCAACCAGCCGTCCGCTACAACTCCACCACCGCTCCTCGCAGAATGAACAACCAGGTGGTTGACATGGACATTGACGCTACCAGGAAGCGTAACGCCGAAAGTCAAAAGAGAAAATTTGACGGCAAGCAAACCCCCCGTTGCTCAAATTGTGGAAGATTAGGGCACTCTAGCACTAACTGCTGGTCGGCCTGTAGAGGTGTTCCACCAGTTCGAGGAAACTTGAAGAGACGCCTGGGTACGACAGGGAGAGGAAACCGCACGGTTGATTTGGAAGGAGAAGACTACGCACCCGCTATGGGAGACCAAGCGGGAATATATCGAGGAGTGGAGACAGAGGATGTTCCTCGCAACGACCAGCGGGTATCACAACCTGGTCCTTCGATGGAATGTCCTCACTCTGCCCCATCCGGACGACCCCAAACAAACCATGGGCAACGCGTTATGTTACCTAACAGACGACGGGGAAACAGAGGTGTCAGTCATTCTGCTCGAATCGGAGCAGTGCTCGGAGAATTAGGAGAAGATGAAGCAAGAGAAGTGATCTTGGGACACGCGGAGCGTTTTTCCTGACCTCTCCCTCACCAGCGAAGGAGAGAGGTCAAGGACGACCCGAGTTTGATGCCCGCACTTGTATTCGTATTGGAGCAATGAACGACCGTATCATCACTCCCATACGCCTGAACGTGAAGGTATCAAACAGGGATCAATACGCTGGAGCAAAGGCAACCATCGACTCGGCATGCGAGGGGGTTATAGTAAACGAAACTTGGGTCAAGAAACATTGTTTCCCCACCTATACACTCAACAACCCCATTCGCGTCTGGAACGTCGATGATACCATTAATAAAGCAGGTCTCATCCGATCCGCCTTGGATGTGAACCTCACCATTCGGGACATCAGTGGACGAATGCATACTGAGCGCGTCCAGATGTTTATCTCCAATCTAGGGAAGGACGACCTTATCTTAGGAACAGATTGGTTGAAATACCACGATCCCTCCATCGAGTGGAGGCGACGTGAAGTGCACTTTGATCGGTGCCCCCAGAAATGCCAGCAACCACATGGGTTCACTAGGGCAAGGGAAGAACCGCAAACCAATAGGCGGTTATCAAACGTGGAGCCACGGCACAAACCACGCATTAATGAGCGCGAAAAACAGCGCCTAGAACATCTCCGAAGATTATCGGAAGATGTAGGACTCCGCGATCATAGCGGAACATTTGTTGTCCAACTACGAGCATACCTCAAAAGGAAATGGCTCCTACAGGACATAAGGAAATACGCAGAAGAGAAACGAAAGGCTCAAGCCAAACCATCTCTTTCACCAAACGGGGGAGAACCTGACCTCCCACATAAAAACTCAGGAAAACAGGCCACAGAGGAACCAGTTATTTGGAAACTGGCTCCCGAACCGTCAGGATTTGCCAGCTTCGACCAGGATTTGGAGGACGAAATTGTTGTCACCAATCTAAAGGAAAGAGTCCCCAAGGCGCATCACGAATTTTTGGACATTTTCAGCGAACGAAAGTCGCAGCGACTCCCAGAACACACTTATTGGGACCACGCCATAGATCTGAAACCGACTTTCAAACCCCAAGTACCAAAAATCTACGCCTTGAGCCCAGAGAAACATGATGAACTAGGGAAATTCATCAAGGAACACCTCACTTGGGGGACCATCCGTCGATCCACCTCACAAACGGCAGCCCCATTTTTCTTTATAGGAAAGAAAGATGGAAAACTGCGCCTGGTACAGGACTACCGCCATTTGAACTCGTACACTATCCCAAATGTGTGCCCCCTTCCACTAATCCAAGAACTGTTGGACGTGATCAAAGGGGCCACCATTTTCAGCAAGTTGGATGTACGGTGGGGATACAACAATATACGAATCAAGAAGGGCAACGAGTGGAAGGCAGCTTTCATCACTCCACTGGGCTCTTACGAACCCACGGTGATGTTCTTCGGCCTTACCAACTTACCAGCCACCTTCCAGGCCATGATGAACATGATCTTCAGAGAACTCATCACGGCCCGGAAAATAACTGTATATATGGATGACATTCTCATCTTTTCCAAAAACATGGCGGAACACATCCAGGTCCTGAACCAAGTTTTCCAGATCTTGCGCGACAACGACCTCTATCTGAAGCCAGAAAAGTGCGAGTTTTATAAAGAAAAACTCCAATATCTGGGATACACAATTTCAAAAGACCATGTCGCAATGGAAGACTTGAAGGTGGATGCTATACAAGATTGGCCAGTCTCACGCACCGTCCAAGACATTCGCTCCTTTTTAGGTCTAGGAAACTTCTACAGGCGTTTCATCGATAAGTTCTCCCTTATCGCACGACCTCTGCACGACCTCACCAAAAAGTATGCAAAATGGAACTGGACTTCGAAGTGCCAGGAAGCTTTCAAACGATTAAAAAGGGCATTTTTCAGTAAACCCGTTCTGAATTACCCGGACCCCATGCATCTATATTGACTAGTAACGGATGCCTCACTAATCGCTTACGGAGCCACCCTCCTGCAAGAAGGAAAAGATGGCGACTGGCACCCAGTCGCATTCCTTTCCGGGTCATTTTCACCAGCAGAACGGAACTACGACGTCCACGATCGCGAACTCCTGGCCATCATAAAAGCGTTGGAACACTGGAATCACTACCTCGAAGGTGCACGACACCCATTCGAGATCTGGACAGATCACAAGAACCTGGAACACTTCCAAACGGCGCGAGATCTCTCACGACGACATGCCCGTTGGAGCCTTTATTTGAGCAGATTCGACTTCACGCTCAGCTATAAAGCGGGATCAACAAATCATTCCGATGCTCTGTCCAGGCATCCAGATCTAAGTGAGGGGGTGGAATCTGACAACAAAGCTCAAATTTTGCTCCCGGCCAACCTTTTTAACAAATCCGACGAAACACTGGTAGAACCGTCCCCGACACGGCATATCAAGTCCACAGAAATTGCATCCTCGGACCTCATCTCCCTCATCCGATGCTCAAAATTGGAACATGATGCCCTGACAAGGGTAGCCCTCACCAAACTTTTGCGAGTAGGGCCACAAGGAATGATAGGATTACTGGGACATTGGACACACGAAGACGGAATCACCAGACGAAACGGCCATATATGCGTCCCAAAAGACGATGCCATACGAAGACTTATTGTCAAAACGCATCACGATGCACCCGCAGTAGGACACCCAGGGAGAACCAAAACACTGGAGATGGTACAACGACACTATTGGTGGCAAAACATGACAAAACGCACCCTCCTATCCACCCTTTGGAAACTACCAACGTCCCTTGGCGATTTATCTCGACAGACTTCGTCACGGACTTACCCGAAAGCAAGGGTTTTGACTCGATTAATGTGGTAGTGGATCAAGGTCTGTCCAAAGGCATAGTCATCACCCCATGCAAGAAAACGATCACGGCAGAAGAAACAACCGTGCTTTTCCAGAATAACGTTTTCAATCGACATGGGTTGCCGACCAAAATAGTATCCGATCGCGGCCCTCAATTTGCGGCCAAGTTCACCCGAGAACTCTGGAAATGGCTAGGAATCACCGCTGCTCTCAGTACGGCCTATCATCCCCAGACGGACAGAGAAACAGAACGAGTAAACCAGGAGATTGAACAGTTCCTGAGAACGTTCTGCAATTACCACCAAGATAACTGGGTGGACCTTTTGCCGTTTGCCGAATTCTCGCACAACACGCGGAAATATTCAGCCACCGGAAAATCTCCTTTCGAAGTGCTATACGGGTTCAATCCCCCTTATTCAGCTGACACTGCACTGGAAACAAAGGTACCCACGGTAGCTGAACGCATTAAGGTGATCACAGAAGTCCAGGAAGAAGCCGCAGCCAGCCTACAAATAGCCAGCAATTACGCCAAAGACCGGGATCTCCACAGGAAACTCCCTCAGTGGAAAGAAGGAGACCAAGTATGGCTAGAAGGAACCCATATCCGGACGACCCATCCAAAGTTCAAGCTCGCTCCTAGGAGGTATGGACCCTTCAAAATATTGACGAAAGTAGGAACCCTGGCATACAGACTTCAAATTCCCCAACACTGGAGGATCCACCCGGTGTTCCACGCCACAACGCTAACCAAGTATAGGGAAACCGAGGCACACGGAGAAAACTTCGCAAGACCATTGCCGGAGGTATTAAATGATGAAGAACATTATGAAGTAGAAATGATCGTGGACTCAAAGAAACAAGGACGGGGAACCAAATATTTGGTCAAGTGGATGGGATATCCCGAGGCAGACAACACCTGGGAACCCTACACTCTCCTAAAAGGGACAGCGGAAGAAGCTATGAAAGAGTTTCATGACCAATACCCTGACAAACCTCGTCCGGGAGCACCCTGAAAAGCAGAGGAAAAGTCCATAAAAGAGCGACCAGAGAGCCCTAACGGATCATCTTCCCCCACTTTCCTCTCAAGTTCCTTCTCCTTCACTCAAATGCTCCTTCACGAAGACCATGATGCTTCATCACCATCTAGAAACTCCTCCCCCGATGTCGTCCTTATGGTGTCCAATCCAGACATCGGACGAGTGGATAGAGGAACCAGTCCTCACCCAAGCAATGCTGGACGAGTTGATAGAGGAACCAGCCCTCATCGTCCAGAACCCGCCGTTGTCACCCTCACTCCACACCTCAACAACTTCTCAGATGACGACGCCGAGGACTACGCCAAGTTCAAAGAAAGAGAAAGAACTCGCCGACCGTCATCCCAGGGGGCCCCACGAGATGCATCACGGAATGAAAACCCTGATGACAGAAACCTACCGGGCTCTGACGAAGTACCAGTGGGAGTTCCACCTCCTGCTACAATCGCGGCGAACGTTGGAGCTGCAGGTCCCTCAAGACTACGAGCAAGAACAGCAGCTCAACTCCCAAGCCATGGAGAAACTGAATCGATACCAGTTATACAGGGAGCTACACCTCCGCCAGTACCAACTGGTGGACAGATTCCCCGCTCCATGGGAAGAACTACCCTTGGTACAGATCCTCACGCCGGAGAATTGGAGCGACATGCGGACGCGCTCCTCCAACGAAGCACTATCTCCGCGGTAATACAAATGGCCACAGCTATGGCCCTACAACGACTCGCTAACTTCGCTGCAGGGCAACCCGGGAATGAGCATAGCGACATACCTCGACAACTGGCTAGTGCCAGTCTCCAGATCAGAGGACTCGCCCTCTAAACAGACCCTGACACCGCCTCTTGGTATGAACATAACGACGGACGACCACGAGCTCTCCTCATCCATCCCGACGAATTCTCCCAGTATGTTAACAGAGAGCTCCTTCCAGCTCTCCTCTTCACCGGAGAACTGGGCGCCGTCCAACCAAGTAGAACCGACCCTTTCCGCATTGTTGTCTGGAATGTACCACGTCCCGGAGAACATCCCACAGCTGTACCAAATCCAAGAAGGACTCTGCACACGGTCATGGAACGCCCTTCACCGAGGCCACGGGAAAGTCGCCCAGCACATAGCAATCCCACGACGTCCTCCTCTCACCGGGTACGAAATTTTCCCTTATCCCATGGGGGTACCGACAAGGAGGAACCACCTGTCTATCGAAGAAACGAGGGAAGGAGGAGTTGAGGAACCCAGGCAACCCTCCGCTGCGGAACAACTACTGGCGGGAGTGTTCGACACCGGCCTGGAACGCCTCCTCCTAGTGCTCGATTTTGTACAGATGAGGGACAGAATAACCGAAGTAGCCGCAGAACTCGCCGCGCTGATTCGGAGGCTAGAAGAAATTGCTCTTGGACTCGATCCGAGCTCGATGCATGGGACGCTTTAGATGACCCCGGAAATTACGACGACGCCGATCCGTATTATCAGCCTGACGAAGGAGGCGATGGGTACCAAGGACCCTATGACTACTAGGGAAGGGCAGTCGCGGAGCAAGAAAAAGGGGGTAAGGAAGTTGAGGAACTCCTACCCCTACTAGAAGGTCCGAAATGACCTTAAACTACCGATCGTCCGCAACGACGTAAAACTAGGATCGTCCCTCAAGACGTTAAACTGTACGACCTCATCCGAAAGAGACGTTAAACTACCCTGCGTCCGGAATGACGTCTAAACTATCGAACCTGCATGTCTTAAAACTGTGAAAAGATAAGAAGGCAGGGGAAGTACCTGACCATTAGTCCTAGGTTCAAATGATGGTACGAATCAAGGACAACAGCGGGCATAATTCCATGTACGACCTACGGCGGAACCTTTTCACATCCTCGCTGTCAAGGAGTTAATCTGACAGATGCATCAAGCGTCCCATTTGGATCCTCAGTTTTACAGGGTTTTTTCCGCATTAGGGAACCCTCTACATGACATATACTCTACTCGTAGGTGTCGACAAGCCGGCTCTTCGCCTTGGTACAGCGAAGTGCCCATACATAACCGGTTGCAAGTCCAAGCCAAGAAATTATGATGCACAACTCATTAAGTGAACCCTCACAGTCAAGGTCTGACTGGTGTTTTGGGACGTCCCACTTTGGATCTCCCGTTTTACAGGATCGTTTCCGCATTAGGGGATCCTACAGCTGGCGCATGAGATGATGTAGAGAACAGGCCACCTCTACTTCACAAGTCTTCCTATAATGATGCGAGGCCATAAAATACATCCGGAACGATGTAAAACTACCAAAGGCTTGGTCCGCAATGACTATAAACTACTAGGGTCCGCAATGACGTTAAACTAGTCTTCATCCGAAACAACGGAAAACTATCCTCGTCCGAGATGACGTAAAACTACCACTGACCCAAGGAGCGTGGTTGTATTCTGGTGAAGCGCGGATTTTCAGGAGGATCCGCGTCGCAGAACCCTGCCTATAAGAGGTCGAAGCGCTTCCGATATTCACTCGCTTTTCGGTAAAAGAATATCGGGTTGTCTTGGTTCAAATCCAAGCGAGGGGTCTGGGGACATGGAAGAGCAAGCATCTCTTCATGGCGCGCTCAGTCTAGTCCTGGAGTCGAAGTACAAGAAATTCCGCTCCAAGACCTAGTCAGGAGGCAACTAGGACACGTGCCTCGAGTCGAAAATCTAGTAGGAAGGGACTAGGTCAAGCGACTCTCGTCTGGCCCATATAGCGGAAGAACGACAAGAGCAGGCCACTCATACGGAGAAGTCTATTCCGCTCAATCGTCCGCAACGACGATAAACTACGACGCGTCCGGGATGACGTTAAACTAAGCATTGTTTTTCCATAATATTTGTGGCGAAACAACGTCCGTAATGACGTTAAACTATTGTCCTCTCAAGAATGAGGATCATAATAGATATCTCGACCAGATGTCCATTTCGTCCGCAACGACGAAAAACTACGAGCGTCCGCAATGACAATAAACTATTGTCCCTTTCCACATAGGGATTGTTCGAGGCCATTTTTGCAATAGAAATGGCGTCGACGTCCGCAACGACGGTAAACTACGGGCATCCGAAATGATGTAAAACTATCGTCCCTTCGTTCTAGGGATCGTGCGTGGTGGAAATCAAGGTTATCCCCACGCGTCCGGAACGACGCTAAACTACTTGTCCCTTCAAGTATAGGGATCGTGCATGGCGATCTCGACAAGATACCGCGCATCCACGACGACATTAAACTAGTGCCCCTGGACCTAGGGGTTGTCATTGATGTCCAATCCCCTGGACACCAATGCGTCCGCAATGACGGAAAACTATTTGCTCCTTACCGTATAGGAGTTGTGGATTGACTGCCATGCTGTCAATCGTCCGCAATGACATTAAACTACGTGCTCCTTACCGAATAGGAGTTGTGGTTGTTGACCAAGACCGTGGTCACCAACCGTCCGAGAAGACGTTAAACTACTCATCCCTTTTAGTATAGGGATCATCATCAACGTTGTCCTTGACGAGAACGACGCTGATAACGTCCGAAATGACGGTAAACTACCTTCATCCTCGGAAGGAAAAGCCTATCGTGACTCGGGGGACATAGTCAGACGATAGCTCGCCTAAAGCACGGCGTTAAACTGCAAGTCGCCTACCTCACGGCGTTAAACTGAGCGGTCTCCTAATATTGAGACGTTATAAGTTATCCGGTTTGATACAGCATAAACCGTTCCCATCATGCCTCAGTGGAAACCTGCGGGATAAAGTCTGGTCTAGGGCCCTATGCACACAACCGATGGAAATTCCGGCGTGCAGAAACATCTTTTTCCACAGATATTCCATGTTGATGATGAAGAAGGTCCGCAAATGACCTAGGAGTAAACTACAAGGCAGCGCAGGGCGCCTTAATGTCATCCGAAACGATGTAAAACTACTATCGTCCGCAACGACGATAAACTACGGAACGTCCGGCAAGACGTTTAAACTGCCATCGTGGATATATCTCGCGACCCAACAAATATATCAGCAGTGGTCTTAATGTCCATTCGTGCAAGTGAACGGGCCGATCCGGAGAAGGAGTCAGACTCCTCCTTGCTCCTCACGGCACCCTTCAAGTTTAATTCTCTTCACATCCTTGCCTCAAACCCAATACGCATAGTAAATCAAACAAACTCTGGACGTCGAACTAACTCACCGGAGATGAGCCCACCGTATGGGGGCGATACTGCTTGGGATTTATGGCTGCAACCTCACCGGAGATGAGCTCACCGTATGGGAGCGATACTGCTTGGGATGTTAAGATGGTAGTCTGGGGAAGTAGGCCTAAGCCTTTGTAAAGCGATCAACCTACTTGCCCGTGGACGCCATCCTCTGAACGCCAAGAAGAACAACAAAAATCATGAGGATAACGACTATCCTGGAAACACTGAGGTTTGGCCCTCGGAGAAGGAAGAAGAAGAACCTGATGACACGAATCGGAACCCACATGCTAGATTTCTATTCATCTATACACCACTCGCATCCATACGCCTTTCTTGACACCTGTCCGGAGACCGACCGGACTGACATCCTGGCTTGAGAACCCAGGAAAGATCACAACAACCGAGGGGTGAAGGAAGAACATCCTACAGAGCGGAGGTTTGGTACCCTCACGACTTGACAAACAAACAGCTCAATGGAGATGGAAAACTCCTAGAGGATCAAACCACGTAAGTCGGTCTTCCTCCCAGAAAATGAAGTCATGTCCCGGAAGTCGCATCCGGAGACCAATTTTTGGATCAAGAAAGCAAATCGTATATGGAGTGGCGATGAAGCGCACAGCGCTGTCCTACTAGGCAAATAGGACGTAGAAAGGGGGGTATTGTTATGATCACATTCTGTCGGGCCTTAACGGCGGTCTATTCCGACACAA